CCCAGCGCAGGGGCCGGCGGCCGCGGCAGGGCGGGCGCCGCGCGGAGGCAGGGCGGGCGTATTCAATGGAAGTATGTTACCAGCTGCCGGTGCTGCCCCTGGACAGGCCGGTCCCCCAGCACGTCCTCAGCCGCCGAGGAGCCATCAGCTTCAGCTCCAGCTCCGCGCTTTTCGGCTGTCCCAACCCCCGGCAGCTCTCACAGGTAATCGCCTCGGCCGCTGCACCGGGCCCACACCGGGGGCTTCTCGCTTTTGTTCCCAGTGCCCACCAGCACCACCTCCGCGGCGCCCCAGCTCCCGCCGCCGAACCCGGCCCCAGCTTTGTCTATTGTTGGGGGACTCCTAGGCTGGCCCTTCGGATTGAGAGCCTTTCTTTCCATGCTCGCTGCTGTCCGCCCTCCGCACGCCGGCCTCCTCAGACCCGCACCCCGGGGCACCCCGCAGCCCTCCCGCAGGCCATCGGCGTGCCCGGCGGCGAAAGCCTCAGCATGATTTTGCCCTTTAAGGCTTTCTCGACGTCTTCGTTCGGAAGTTGGGCCCCGCTTCCGTAGCTGCAGCCCCCCGCCCCCAGCACACCTGTTCACCTCTGCTGCCCCCACCCCGCACACCTGTGCCGAGCTCACGCCCCTCCAGCCTCAGCTCCCGCGCTCGGCGGTGCTCCAGTGTGCCGCGGTTCTCAGTGAACAATAGGCCCAGATGCCAGGTCGCTGTCTTCTCCCCAACTCCTTCATTTCTACGGATGGGCCTAAAGTGGTGTCGGAGGAGCAGGTCTGCAGAGCTGATAGCCGCGAATGGGCTTTGTTTTTAATTTGATGAGATTTTTAAAGAGAAACCACTGATGTTTACTCACAGGAACATATTTGGAATGGTTCAATACCAGTTGCTCCGGAGAACTTATATTTTTTCCTATGGTGATGTCTTTGTCCCAACTCCTTACTACTGTTTGATTTTAATTGCAAGATTTAGAATGGAACGCGAAAACAATTTTGCTTTTTATATATATATGAGCTGAGTGCCCTCACTGATTGCTGCAAGAAATTTTGTGGTCCTGATCATTTTTTAAATCAAATTGTTTATTTTTCCTATTGCTTAATATTACCTTTTATGGGAATGTATCTTTCTCCAGTTATGTTGTGTCAGTAGTGTATTTCCAGGTAGTGTGGACAGCACCTTTTAGAGATTTTGCTTTATGATTGTCTAGTAAATATCACTTGTCATCCGCCTAAGTTGTTTGTAGAAAGAGCAGGAGTCATATCAGTTTTTTTCTAAGTCCTTTTTATTCGAAATCAGACTTCCACAGCACAAGGTATATGCTTACAAGATCAGTGTAGACTTGTAAAAATTACTAAAATTTTAAGTGGCATTTCAAGTAATACTACATTGTTACTTATTTTGGATGTTAGTTCTGTTATTGGCATTTTTAGTACTGCTGGAGCATTTTCAGGTTACAGAATTAATGTTGAAGAGGTATTAATACACTACTAAAAAGGTTTCAATAGTGATAATTCAAGGTCTTCAGTGGTAGGAACTTTGTTCATTTCTAAGTATTATTTCACTTCCTCAGATCAGCAGGCACATGGCCACACCTGTTTCCAGTTATGTTTAAATAATGGAATCGCTGATCATTTATAAATTACAAGACGCTTCAAAGTTTTCATGCTCCCTGAGGAGAAAATGAATGAGAATGAAGATTCCAAGGGATTTAAAACAAGGCTGATGCCAAGATGCCTTAATTAATCTACAGAGACCAAATACAAGTTCTACTCTTTCTTGACTCATTTCCTAGACTTAGGTTTAAATGGGTAATGAAATTTTAGAAGATTGTGGCAGGTAAAGCAAATATTGTAGAATTACTGTATATTCTAATTCTTAAAATGTAAAAACAAACAAGAAAAGACCAAAATAAATATACAGGTATTTATTACACTTCAGACAGAAGTTTTCCTAAATTGACACCTATTTTCTGCTTGGCATTGCTCAGTGTTAACAGGATGCTGAGCTGAGTGTATTTACTATCATCAAGGCTTTGCATGTTGTTTAATAATGAAGCATATATTGATAGTGAGTTCTTTGGGGATAGGTGGGAATTTGTAATAAGAAAGGGAAGTTAAAAATCTTGGAGTCTTATTCAGAGCACTATGAAATAAATATTTGGTTAAATCAAAAGCTTCCTTTAACCCTGAGTAAAGTTAAGCCTAGAGTTACAGAAATTATAAAGAGTTTATGAAGAGCTTTTTTTAAATTTGAGATTTAAAATTATTTTTCTAACTATAAGTAAAATACTTTATAGTTTTTCCAATTTTAAGATATGTTCAAAACTTTCTTTTTTTGATTTTTGAGACAGGGTCTCGCTGTGTAGTTCAGGCTGGCCTTGTACTCACTATGTAGTCAGCACTGGCCTCAGACTGTCTGTGATCCTCCTCCTTCAGCCTCTGGGAGTGCTGGGATTGCAGGTGTGTGCCACCTGGCTGAAACTAGCGATTTTTCAGTTCTTTATTTTTATCATAGTGGAGTGCAGCTGATAGTAGAGATTTAATAAATACTTGTTGCATGACTGAATAGGAAATGAAATTACCTCTGACAGAATATCAGTTCTAAACGTAAAGCAGTGTAAGAACATCACAGTAGAATAGAGAGGCATTTATCCAGAGTTTGGTTTAGAACTTGTAACTGCAGACCAACAGACCTGGGAAGTAAGCAGAAAAGACCGAGCAACCAAAATAAATTTGGACATCCTCTCAAAGCATGTGAAATTTAGGCAAAATTTTCTGAGTAGCAAGAAATTTGAAGTGGGATGAGAGCCAGCTACAGGCTGTTCACACCGCAAAAACTGACAGGTAACACACCAAAACCTCGGGATGGGAAGAAAAACTCTTCCAACTCAGCAACCTGGGAACTTAGGTCAGGCGCTTGAGTGTTGGACAACACAAGTATTAGTCAAAATAATGCTAGTAGAGTCTGTTTTTACAAGTTGGAAGATTTGTACTTTTTGCTGTTGTTGTTATCTTTTAAGATTTCCATTCTAGACAGTTTAAATGTTGTTGCTTAAGTGGACAAGCTTGGACCAGGGGTATAGCTTAGTGGCATAAGCGCCTGCCTAGCAAACACAAGGTCCTGAGTTCAATTCCTGGTACCCCCCCCCAAAATGGACAAGCTTGAGTTATCTGGAAAATTCATTTATTGGAACTATAGCTTTTCTAAGGATGATGAGTAAATGATATGTGAAGTTTTTATTATAAACCAGGTCGTATACTACCTTTTCAAATGGTTGAGATTTCTTTTAATTATTTGAATAATGAATGAAGCCATTTCCTTACTGTGTTGGTATACAGCTGAGTTTATACATTTGTCTTTCAGAAGGAAGCTCTTCACCACAGATGCTTTGCATAGACAGGGGTTCAGTAAATGTGGAAGTTGGGTTCGTGTATTGATACTAATGCCAAAGCACTGGAAACGTCCTGTTTTAGAATTTTAAAAATATATCATAAAAACGTTATCAGACAAAATATTGGAATGTAACATGTAAACATGCTTTTAATACCATAGTAAGCCAAATTTAGCATCTTCTTTTTTTCAGGACTGGGAACTGAACCCAGGGCCTTCACATTGAGCTATATCCCCACCCACTTTTTATAAGCATGTGCTGCCACACCTGACTTTTTTTTTCTTAAGATACTATTTTCTTAGGCATGATGCAGCACACCCATAATCCCATCACTCTGGAAGGCTGAGGCAAGAGGATTGCAAGTTCAAACCCAGCCTGGGAAACTTAGCAAGATTGTCTCAAAGATAAGAAGAGCTGGGGATATAGCTCAGTGTGAAGGTCCTGAGCTTAAGCCCCAGTGCTGAAAAAAAAAAAGTCACAAAAAACTGTTTCATAAATATTTACTCACAGAATACCTATGAGGCTGCTTGCAGTTAGTATTAAGAAAATGTAAAAAATTCATAGTTAAAAAAAAATCGATGTGATCCTGCCTCTCACAATATTAACACTTTCCAGTTATAACCATTATGGCCATTTTGTCTTGCTTTTAGCAGTGTTCATAGTATGTATCACAATTTTTCAAGGTCCTTTCTGTGCTAGAATGGTATAGAGCCTCTTGGATAAAAGTTAGTTCCTCCTTCTAGGTGTTTATAGGATTGTGAGGGGAGAAAAGCTAGGATTCTATGTGGTGTGCTTGTTGTATAAGATTTATCAAGGTGTGATGGGACTACAAGGAACACCTAAATTTCTGGGATAAATCAGGGTAGCTTCATATAGCTGTTGAGGCTTAGGCAACGAATTAAAGGTTAAACAGGTGTTTCTAGATAAATTGGTGAATGTAGGGGGAAGAGGACAGGGGGGCCCATTTAAATGCGCAGTATACAGTTAGCGCTGTCCTATAGAACCATTTGTAACGATGGATATCTTCTCTTCGCCATCCAATATGATAGTAAGTAATTAGCCCTATGTATGTAGTGGTCACTTGAAATGCAGCTCATCTGACTGAGGAAATGAATTTTAGTTCACTTTTACTTACTGCATATAGCTAGTGGCTACTGTATTAGAGCAGACGTATAGATCATTACTCTTAGATCGTTAGAACAACAGTTCGACTTGTTGGCAAAACATTCTCCAGATGTTGAACATTTGTTTTCAGGTTTTTCTTGTACACAAAACTTCATTTAATAATAAATGCCTTCATGCAGCTTTGATAAAATTTGTAGGATCACTAGATTGAGTCAAAAGGTAAGAACATTTTTTTGGCTTAATCAAAAGGCTCTATCCTTTGACAACGCTCAGGTAAATGATCCTATCCCTCTAATGTCCAGTCATATATTACCAAATATCATATAGACATTTTGCCACTGAACTGGATGCACTAGTATACCTGAGTTTGATACAAATTATAGTAAACAAGAGATTTATACTATTTGCGTTTCTTCTTCCATGAAATTTTATTTTTATTACTCCTTTATAGGGGCTATTGTATATCCAACATCAGTTTGTAAAGGTACCTTATTCCAAATTGATATTACAATTTTAGTAGCCTCTTAAAACTAATATATGGAAGCTGATACAGGGGATAATGGAGGTGGTCAGTGGTTCCCCTTGGAAGGGATCTGTGCCGTGGATTCTGTGGTTGATATCAAAAGTGTCTGTAATAGGTAATGTTGAGTGGGATGATTAGATGGCTGCTCCATGCCTCCACCTACTGGTAGA